TTCACATCCAACTGCTTCCCTTTTTACCATAAAACTAAGCATCAACTAAATCCCATGTTCCAGTAGTTCTCTGTGCTATTATGGCTTCTCCAAGAGCTTTAACGGTGTTAAAAGGCTTACATTGAAAATGAAATATTTAACTGTTGTCCACAATGGTCTTCATTTTTCTCACGAGTGGTATCACAGAACCAAAAACAGCTGAGCTGCTCACTCAGGTCAATTTTTAAGAGGAACAAGAAAAAAGAAATCTAGATGACCCACAGCTGGCAGTCAAAATGTGACAGAACTACAAATTCCCCGAAGGCTAACGAGATACATGCCGTGTTGTTATGGAGTACAGTATGGCAAATCAACACAAACAGCCAAGATGGTTCACTGATATCCATTTAAAATTCAGCAGGTAAAGTTTGAGTTGAACACCAAGTAATCAAAGTTCTCCTGAAATAATTTTGCAGGTTGTAAAAATCAGGATTTCCTTATTAACCTGAAAACCCCTTCCATACAAGTGATCTCATTTCACTGAAAGTTTAGACTCCACTGTTTTAAGGTTAAGTCATTTGAGTAGTTTGGTTAAGTGCAGCCTAAAACTCACTCATCGTCCATATCGTCATCATCGTCGTCGTCGTCATCCTCCTCCTCTTCTACATCCATCTTCATTTTTTTCTGCACAAATGTAAGAAATCAAATGAATTGGAAAATATCCTTCACTTATTCATGGACAAATCTCGAGCAGGGTATGAAGGATGTGAAACAAACCTGAGACTTGAGTGCAGGAGAGGTAGCAGGTCTCTTCTTTGATGTTCTGACATCTTCCTCCTCTTCCTCCTCGTCATCATCATCCTCCTCTTCATCGAACGACTGATCAGCTGACATCACTTCAACAACAAATAAGAACTGTTAGAGTAGGCTGAAATGTAACCACCGTGGGGCGCCGTTAGCTGAGTGGTTAGTGCGCACCGGCCATGTACTGAGGCTATAGGAGGAGCACTCCTTTTGTGATGTCATTTCCCCTCTTCCTATGTCTCTGACTTCAAACTCTATCCACTGTCCTAACTCTACAATAAAGTCAAAAAAGCTCCCAAAACACATCTTACAAAAATAAAATACCACCACTGTAAAGTGATACGTGGTGATAAGTACTCACTGATGAGGTGTTGTCCGCTGAGGTGGATTGGACCAGCACCTGCCTTCAGACGGAAAATTGCTGGGGGTGTGATTGTGAAACCACCAAGACACACCTGCAACAAAAACGTACGTAAGTTTCACTCTATGAATGTTACATTCAGCAGCATTTCAGAGAATTACCTGTTTGAACATAAGAAAATAAAATGAACAGTTTTCTTACACTTGGCAGGGTAGAGGGCTTCAGTGAAACCAGTGCTGCTTTGATTTGTTGTCCCTCTGTGTCTTGTCCTTCCACCTCCACCATGTGAAGTTCGTCCTTGGTGCTGGCGTCTACACATACCTGGAGGAGGGAATGCAACAATTAACCATCACGGTGCTTTTCCACAAGACTTGTTCTGTTCAAAACAACTCAATAGTGTTTAATTGTATTGTCAGGTTCTATGAACTGTGAAAACAAAGACCAACCAAAGGATTCTTGGACAGAAAACCATTTTTCAATTTATAGGCTGCAAGAAAGCTATCTTTATAAGCATTGCACATAACTTCTACAGGTGCCACCTGTTACAAAAAGTAGTGTTTGTTTATTGATACAACAAAACTTTGGAAATGCGCAACACTTCTGGTGTCAGGGTTTTTCAGTTCCTATCAGGCGGTAAGGTAAAGCGACTTATGTGGTCAGATCTGATAACATCTACTTTGGGAGTTCTTGGATTAAAGAGATCATGAATAAAAACCAGGTTCTGTGCAGTAGAAGAACAGGACATCTTTAAATAGCAAACAGAACGTAGAGGAAAATTTCAGGTTTCCTTAAACAACAGAAGCGTTTTATCCTCACATCAGAAAAAAGGTGATAAGCCTAATTTTATGTTGGATGCAACACCTTACGTTCCCATGAACACAACTTTGAGAGTATCTGAGAGTCATGATGCATTTTGCTAATTGAAACGGGATAGATCCAATCACAAGATAGAAGGCGGGGCCTCATGTTGAGATGGATTTGATTAAAAAGTGGGCGTATTACAACAAAAGTGGCATAAAAATGAGAGAAAGTTTTTGAATCATTTGAAAATAAGATGTCATCAGACATTGATGACATCATGAAATATTTTACAGCAAAATAAAATGCAGCTATTCTGGTGTAAAAATACTCAGATGATGCTTTATTTAAACTAAAACCAGGGAAATATAATTTTCATTTCATAAAAGGGTTTATATCCTTTAAACATTTCATCTTGTGCCAGTCTAATGCACAAGAGACAACATTCTCTAAACGCTGAGGGAAGGACTATTTCTTTTTTTCTCCAATAAAGAGCACGGGCAATCAAGCCATGAGAAACTTTACGTACAGCCTTTCAGAGTTATCAGTGAGTTATTAATCAATCTCTGTAGCCAGCAAGTGGAAAAGTCAACCATTATGATGCAATTCTACAGCTGCACAAAAGTTCTCCTTACGTAAAATATTCAGACTTGATACAATACAGTTGCAGAGCTGAATTTAAAGGAAACATATTAAACCAGAGAAGCAACAAATAAGAACGCAGGTTACTCACCATCCTCAGATCAAGCTGATGCTCAAAGTCATCATCCTCAGGATTGAACACCACTTCCTTTCCAGCTTCCAGGACGCACCCTGATTAAGACATTTTAAATTATTATAAGCCTACATTCTTATGCAAAGTAGTGTAACCTTATATATACACTGAGATTGAAACATTTCTTAGTTAGTTTCATAAAACGATGAAAGGCTATTTATTGCCATATTTCACATGCACACAAGGGGGAGCCATTCACACTTACTGAATATGCCCACATGGCCATTGCTCAGGGAACCCCCTCATTTGGGGGGGACTAAATAATAATGGAAACTATGGCGTGTAAATTAATAAAATTCAAGACCTTGTTGTTCAAACAAACTTTTGGAAATTGAGTTTATCTGGTGGACAGAGCGTGACAGAGAAATGACATGTAGCTGTACTTCTTAGGTAGTCATGAATATAATAATTACCGTGAATACATTCTGGTTAAGGAAAAGTAATGTACATCTCAGCCTCGCACTTATCACAAATATGCAGAAGTGAGTCCAATTTGTTAAATATATTTTCCCGCCAGACAAATATATTCACTGTGAGAACAAATAAAACATCAATTCGTCCTCAAGAAGTAACTTTTAACACATGTGAAAGAGGCCCCACTTCTACCCACGTTGTCTAAATGTGGACCCATGTGCTTAATAATAAGACATTTTTAGTTGTGTTTAAATGCGTCTTTGAGGAAAGGTTAAACCAGGTAACAGGTCGAAGAGAGATAACCTACATTTAATACAGAAGAAGAATGATAACCTATTTAATCAAATGGTTACTCTTACTGGTTAAAAAAAAAAAAAAAAACATCCGACAGGTTAGCAGCAAATAAACTTTAAAAACCTGATAAGGAAAGTGTGACGTCAGAGGGCTCTTTGAAGTCAGCGTGGCTCCGCGTGAGTCTGAAACCACGTTTACAGCTTTCTTCATGACACCTTTTGAACTTTGAAGGCCACTAACTGGGCCAAAATGTCCCGAAATTAAACATTAATTGCGTGAGAAGCCACGGAGTTAGTTGAACGACTGGTGTAAGATAAAGGCTTAAATATCAACATTGTTGGTGAAACATGGGAGCCGCCATGTTGATAGTGAAACACGTGTAAAGCTGCTGTGTCGCCGCTCTGTTCACCAGGACTCAGTCAGCCTCACTCTATGTTAACATGAAAAATACACACGACATTACACCACAATGATCTGGTACGACAACAGAAATGTAACCTTTCGTTTATGGGCAAATACTGCAACATTAGAGGATACATTTTCACGTTGCTTTCCTCATATTAGCACTGTGAGGTAATGTAAGGTTAAAAACTAAAAAAGTACATGATATGCAGAAGTTGTCTCACCGTAAAGGAAGGTCTGTGGGGCCATTGCTTCTTCATCTAGCCCGTTCATTTTTGTAAGATTAAAAAGTGACAACCTACTGCTTTACCGGTGGAAGAGTACCTAACTCCAGCTAGTCAGTGGATAACGTGCTGCACGGTCTGCCAGCTTCTTCCCCTGCTGCTTCTGCGTGCAGAATACAACACCACCAAGAGTCACAGCGCCGCCACCTGTACAACATCGTGCACTGCACTGTCAAGTCGTCAAGTCAGAAACGATTGTTTACTCGTTTGCTTCTTTCCAAAACTGTTGTTGTGTGCATAAAAATAAATATACAACCTATGTATCATTTGGAATAACGTGTTTTCTCATTTTCCTGTTGTAACGAAGCTATTTTAACAGAATACAAGAAGGCATTAAAAGCAGTCAGGAACCCAAAAGAAAAATACACGAATAATGGAAATGACTTCTCCAATTTCATCATCATAAATCAAAGGTTTAATCGTAACATTGACGATTGTGAAAATGACTCATACATAGGCTATACTATATGTTTAACCTTTAAAAATCTGTCATATAGGGTATGAGTTTGGATGTAACCTATGGGCCACACATTAAATAATAAAGTTGCATGTCACAATTATAAACATGACTTTCCTTATTATTTATTTATTGGTTGTGTATTAGAAGGCTATACACTTAGCAAACAAGCTTCACCGTTTATAGCAACTACAACATACACCACTTCTCACCAGATTTGAATTTGCAGAGGGAGAAAAAAAAGTAAATATTTTGTGAAAAGAACCCACAAAGTATTCTCTTAATTTTGATGGGTTCTCCTTTATTCATTTGGGTTTCCCTTTTGGATAATGCTTATGTTCTGTATTTTGTAAAGAGCATACACAAAATGTATGTACACAGCGACAAAGACTCGTACTTTCATGTTGGAACACAGAAAAAAAAACACAACTGTTCAGTAAATGGTAAAGTAAATTTTATTCGTATGGCTTCAAATAAACTTTCTGCTTGTGAGATTGAACAGCTCTGTTACAATACAAGACCAGAGGCCGTGATGTCACACTGACTTACTTTACAGCCAAAAGCTGCTCCACTGACAGCAAAAGGAAACCGTGCTGAATATTTTAGTGCTTAAACTACTACATCTTAGTGAGTTTTCTATTATGGTGGTGCTTCCAAACACACCGTGACTCATAAAGAACCAGCTGCAGGCAACCGCCTGAGTCACCCTGTTCTGTCTGTATCTGCACGTCAGTGTGACATCACAGATGTGGATTGGATGGCGGAGGCAGTGCCAAATGTTCACCAATACAGATGGAGCTGTCCTCTGTGTCATCAGAAATTCCCATTCTAAAGCTGAAACACAGCAGTAGTACCCTGCAAGATTATCTGACATGTTCCAATATCAAGATTTTATTAGAATGGCTTTAACAACAACCATCTTACTGTTTTAGTACTATACCTGTACATACCAAGAAAACAGGGATTAATAAGGTTGTACCATACAAATATAATATAATACCACCACTGTTGCCAGCTACAACTTGATCACTATGCAGAAAAGATATTTGTTTGTTGATCACAAGCCTTTTCCACATCTTCATTTTCCGGGCACTTCATCATAAAATCTAGACTTTATGCACATTTTTTCACATTACCTCTTTTCTTTCTTTACATTGTTGACAACACATTATTTTGAACACAAGAAGCAAAGCAGCAAGTGAAACTATAAAAGAAAGATTTGATTTCTTCTTTAAATTTCACTAAAACATGAGCTCCAACAAAGACAGAGAAACCAAAAAGACATGTTAACACACGCGCGCACACACACACACACACGCACGCCCGCACACACACATTCACACACTCGCTCACAAACCATATTAAGACCATGAAATGTACTTTTTCTAAACTGTTTGACCTTGTAAGCTCGACACAGACTCTTGACAATAAGCTTCAGACAGACTCAGCAGGCAAGCGACAGTCAGGGAACAGAGGTCACTGCAACAGTAAAAGCAACGCATGACATTTGAAATATGCCATAATCGTCAAACACCAGATGCGAAACATAAATATGGCCAAATTCCCATTACAAATTTGAAAATGTTTGGAGAAAAATCAAAAATCTCTTGCAAAAGCATGCAGTTTAATTTAGGCAAAAAGGAGCATCGTTTGGTGAAAGAAAAATAACGTTTCGCTGGTTGAACTATTAGCTCTTCGCTGGTTGGTGGGAGCAGCCTGGTAATGTACAGTAGGAGTGTTTTAATTTTTAAATCTTCAGGACAGGACAGAAAAAGTCTGTCACATCATTCACTTTGGTGTGGAAAAACTCCACAGGAAGGCTAAAAGCAATCTAGTTCAGTCCCTTCATTCAAGTCATGAAGGGTTTAAATCCAGACCACAGCAGGAGACGAGGAGGAGGAAATCTGGACGTGCTGCACATTTGCATTCACACGCACAGGCACACACACACACAGCCACACACACACACACAGGCACACACACACACACAGGCACACACACACACATGCGCACATGCTCACACACGCTCACACACCAAGCCCTCTCATTTTCTCTGTCTTTATCTTCACCATCTTCTTCTGGCCTACATCACGTTTTCAAACAGCTGCATGGATCTCATCATGGTCTCATCCTGCACAGAGAGAAGAAAAGTCATCAGGGCAGAATGATGCAATTAACTAGCAGTTTACTGTAACCTTGTATAAAGCATTTTATATCCAGAGATGCTGAACAGCTGCAGAAGACACCAGCTATCAAACCATTTTTCTTTGCGCAGGAAGTCCATTTTTTTTTTAAACTCTGGATGACATGACATTTGGATGCTTAAATTCTATATATTGTTATTGTTAAAGCTGTTTTCTTTGCACGCATAATCACATTAACAATTTAGAAAGAAATCTAATGTCTTCTGTTTTTTTTTTTTTGTCAATTTTGAACTTTTGAATCATACATACTCTCTCAAACATTATGACATGCACTGTTACATTTCCAGTGTCAATGGAGCATACATAGCTTATATTTTACTTATTAGTAAATGTGTATGCATATTTGTAGAAATCTAAAAGCCAAGGTCATACAGTATATTGCTTTGCATTCATTTGATTCCCAATACAAGACACTGGCAAGAATAGCTTCACATTGTTAATTTTGACTTGGAATGCACAATAATGTAATTTTAAACAGAAGTAAAAATAAGATTTATCATGATTATTGATTGAAATTCAACGATTATTCATGGTTATACAAATCATCGTTTGACAGCCCTAGTATTTACTGTATACAAACACATACTGTATATATAGACATATCTCTCTGTAAGTGTGTGGAGAGCTAGTGTGCAGATGTTTTTATCATACTCTTATATTATATTCCTCTGATTTATTTGTTACTTCAAAGCTTGTGATACATGTTTGTTACATATCTTTATGTCTTTCATTGTTATGACATAAAGAAATTTACAAATAATACACATTACCTACATACATACCTCCTGACAGGCAATAACAAACTCCTCCAAAGTCACCACTCCATCTTTGTTTTTATCCATTTTCTGTGGAAAAAAAAACATTTTCAAAATGTCAATTTGTAGAAAGGAGAGGCAAATGTCACACAGTTTTTATGTAAAAAGTGTTGCATGGTCAGCAGGTATAGAGCAGGGAGAGTGTGAGGAGAGAGAAGAAAATAGCCGAGAAAGTACGGGGGGAAAAAAGAGTGGGTAGAGAGGGTAACACATCATTCTAACCCCAGAAACATATTGAAGGTTTTAGAATCTGTCTTCACCTCCTGCCCAAGATATTTTTCTGATGCCTCTCAAGATTTAGTTTTAGTATTGATTTTATGATTAAACGGCTCACCTTTAAATCATGTACTGTATGGGGCTGGCTCCTAACTACTTTGCTACAGCATATCATCATCATTTTTAAAATGATTTATTTTCTTATATTATTTCTTATATTATTAGTTAAATGAATTTGATGTCTTTAATTTTATCATTGCTTTCATCGTTTTATTACTGCTTTTATTTCTGCTTTTTATTTTTACGTCTCCTTGCGTCATGTTTTCTCTTTTACTGATTGTTACTGTATGACCGTCTCTCCTCTGTTTCCTCTCAGCTGCTTTTTTATCATTTACGATCCACATTTTTGTCCCTGAGGTTTTGGGCCATGTAGTGTGGCTGCGTTTGTTGCCTATTGAGTTAAGTGATTTGATTGTTTTTTCGACTTTCTTGTTTTTATGATTTAATTCACTACGTTGTCCGAGAGATCTTTGTTAACTCTTGGTTTTAAAGCTGCCTTATAAACAATCATCATCATCATCATCCTTGTTATATTATTATCACTGAGGCTTCTATTGGTCTTTTGAGGCTCACTTATTTTTACATACTTGGTGAAAGAGTCAGATTTTTTTTTGTTGCTGAGATTATGAAGCAGCCTGTTTATTTTATACAGAGTACTTCTATGAAATAATTATAACTTGATAGATGTTGCTCAGAAAATATCACGCTTTCTTTCCTTTTTGTGGGTCTTGATCCCCAATTTTCATAATGCGACAGAAAGTTTTAGTTATTTCAAGCTGTTAATGAGTCATAAGTGTAATAGAGGTGTGGTAATAGTGCAGGGTTTGCTTGGGGTGTGGTGTTGATAGGGCCCACAATTCTTTGGGATACCCCATGTGCAAAGTATCTGGGGTTTAAATCTGATTGATAATGAGCTTGAATATTTAAAAATCTACCTGGAAAAAGGCATCCACATGCTGCTTGGGGATGTCTCCCTTTAGTGCAGGGTAGGTGTATTTTCCCATCATGTCATAAATGGCCCTCACAATCTCAGTCATTTCCTGAAAGAAGAGAAGATTCCCCGCTGAGGTGAGACACACACTGTGGATGATTCACTTTACCCGGCACGCACTGTGACAGCAGCTGCGTCTCACCTCTCTGTTTATGTAGCCGTCTCTGTTGATGTCATAGAGGTGGAACGTCCACTCCAGCTTTTCTCTCAGTGTTCCTCGCAGCAGTGTGGACAAACCCACTACAAAGTCCTGAATGAAAAACAAACAACTGAAGACAAACTCAAAATCTAAAGGCATCATGGCAATAACAAAATGAACCACAAAATGTCATCGTAAAGAGTTTTTATTTATTTTTTTTTACCTTAAATTTAATGGAGCCATTGTTTGTAGTGTCAAATGCATTGAAGAGGTAATGTGCGTACATGCTTGCATCTGTGATACAAAAACAAGAACGTGTAAGATTTCCTGTTTTCAAAAATCTCCACAGAGCAAAGACAAATGGATACAATCCCCCCCCCCCCCTTACCTCCATGAGGAAAGAACTGTGCGTAAATGTGTTTGAATGTCTCCTCATTCACAACACCACTTGGACATTCCTATGAAGAAAAAAATATATATATAAAGTGACTTAACTAGTTGATGATATCAATGAAAGAATCCATTAAAAAAAGGCAACTTAAAATCATATTAGTCCCTGTCATCTCCTTTGGGCAATTTATTGTAGCATGTTTGATAGCCAGCTAGTTAATGTATCACGGCTTTGTCATTTACTGTTAGAGCTGTTTTCTATGTGCCTCAAAAATTTAAATGAATGTTGATTATGTGCGAAGAGACATTGCTTTGTAATTTCTGCTATTACGGCTTCATGGAAGATAATATTGGTTTGTTGTTCTTTGACTACATGACGTTAATTCCTGACTGAAATGAGATAATGCCCTGAAATCTCATGAAGCTTCACCAGCCGGTCACATTAGTTTAAGGCCAAATAAAAGAAAAGACTTTCAATATTAACATCTGTCTAAGTCTTTCTCCTTGTTTTCTCTTAAGGTTAACTTGAATGTTTTGTTTTTGAACTATAGATTCCCAATGTTTCCAGTATGTGGAATGAATGCTTGTGTGTGTATCGAAGCATTCAAATAATGAAATCAGAAAGGGTGTTATTACATTTTTGAAGCCCCGGTACAGGATCTGCAGCTCCTGTTTGGAGAAGTTGGTTTGGGCTTCTAACTGTTCAAGACCCTCTGGCCTGTGACACACTGTCGTCATCTCCAGCTCATCGTCTATATTATCTACAGGAAGAGAGAGAGAGAGAGAGAGAGAGAGAGAGAGAGAGAGAGAGAGAGAGAGAGAGAGAGAGAGAGAGAGATAGGGTACTTTGTATCCAGAATCATGCCAATACTTATAAAACACAGGTGATCATTTCAGCTCTTTGTCTCCCTTTGAAACCTGTGATACTCAGAAATGAGACAACTCAGCAAAAATCCAAAATGTCACGCCTGCAAGAAACATATCAAACATTTTAGGAGACAGCAGAAAAAAAGTGCTTACATGGGAAGTTAAGCAGCAGAATGTTAAAGCAGAAAGAGAATAACATTAAGTTAGAAAGAGGGATAAAAATAATGAATCTGCACATGTACTTCCCCTCAGGCGATGAGGTCTTTTATAAATGGCGACATGCACGGGAGAAAGAATCGTGTGCTGTGGAGATGGATGGCGGTTAATGATGTGAAGGGTTCTGGTCCTGCTTTAGACAAATAAGGCTGTCTCCAGCAGCAGGGGAAATAGTAACATCCCATCACTGAGGGTGGACACAAAGCACACACCAATATGTCCTTAAATATGAGCAAACATCCAGGAGAAAACAGACACATAAAGAGCTCTCTGGAACCATTTATTGCTTTTGCTAGCAGCAGCAGAAGGAAAATGTTGAATTAATAAAACCTAAGGTAGGATTATGGCCCTTATCTGTAGCTGAATACGGGTATGTCAGGGTGTCATATCAACGCTTGTGCTCTTGCGTGGTTAGATTTGACATCCCCTATCAAAGGCTTTAATCCAATCCTGGAGTAATGCGATACAACATATTCTTGACGTTTTTAAAAACACCATCCATCCATCCAGTATCTATACAGCTTTTCCTGTTTGGGTTTGCAGGGGGCCTGGAGCTGATTCCTGGCTGTCACTGTGCGAGAGGCGTGGTACACCCTGGACTGGTCGCCAGCCAATCACAGGACTTACATAGAGGCAGACAACCTGCCACACTCACACTCACACCTACGGGCAATTAAGAGTCACAAATTAACCTAACTGTCTTTTGACTGTGGGAGGCCACCAGAATAAGGGAACCCTTGCAGGCATTGGATAACATGCAAACTCAACACAGAGAGGCCCTGTCTGATTGGGATTCCAACCATGAACCTGCGCATTGTGATGCGACAGTGATTATAGATAACCACAGCATACAAATCTACTTTAAATCTCAACAAGCAAAACATGAATGTCTTGAAAAACATTTGGACACATGCACACATTCAAACAAGCTTCAGCTGGGGAAGTATGAATTCTCAGTCAGACTTTCAGGGTAGGAGATTAAAACAAATATAATACTTTAGGCATTTAGAAAGGCAGTAATTACTCACTCTATTCAGTCCTTCCAGCAGTGGTGTCAATCAATCACACGGTAACTTTATCTGGTCTCATATGATCTGCCAGAGGCAATCTTAATTAGACTTTTATATCAAATATGTAATTGGTCATTCATTTTTACACATTAACTGTATGCCAAGACAAGTTCCCACGCTCTGATTATCTGTATATTCATAATTGCTTCTACCTTTATCTTGGAATCATGCTAATGTGTTTCTAATGAATTGTATTTCAGTTTCAATGCATGCCACAAGGCCTCAACTATTATGCAATTCACTGTGTTCACTTAGATCAAACATGTTCTCAAGGCTCACAAATAAGTAGGTTGCGTACAATATTTATGAGGCTTCCCTATAGTGTCATGCATCATAAGACACATCTTGAAAAAAAGTTTGGAAAAAAATCTCATTCTACAACCGTAGAGCAATGGGATTCATTTTGAAATGATATATTCAGACGCTGAGGGATTGATCCTTCTCAAGCTCGTCCTCTTTTCTGAGACATTTCTTTAACATTCTGTTAAATGCTGCCCAAGTGTCATCTTTTGTTGTCAATCATCACAGGATGTGTTTCGTTTTCTGCTTTTCAATCCCCTCCAAATCTCCCTCTGAGCTCCTGTTGTGATCTCCCTGCCTCTTGTTGTCATGGCGATATACAACCAGGACCATTGTGAACAGCGGGTTGGTTTATAACGAAATCAAAGAGAAAACTGCTTCAAATACATTTTTTAAAACATAAATTTCCTTTTGAATTAAAGCACCTCATTACGTTAAAACCAAAATAACAAAGGTGTTGTGTTTGCTCCTTATGAATCTATTTATTTTTTTCCCACCAGGGTGATTTTTGTTTTCCTACAAATGTGACAAAGGGATCAGAAACAGACGAAATGAAATGAGGATGAGAAAAGGAAACGAGTAAAGGTGTTGATTAGAGGAGAGGTGAGACATGCAGATTGAAAGAGGAAGATTGGGAGGAAGAGTGTGAAGAAAAAAGGTGAGGAATACACAATATGTTCGAAAGGACAAAAAAAGATTCAGTGAAAGACAAACACCTAATGATCTTTAAGCGTGACGAGGAAGAAGGCATATTGATTCTGTGAGTGATGTTTGAACTGCCTGGGGGTTTAAACACTTAATAACAACAATGTAAAATGCTATGATTATTAGGCTACATTATAACTACATTATAATTTCACATCCAGACTGATATGAACAGTAGACAACATTTCTAGTGTTGATACTTATATGAAAGGCAGTTGTCCATGATGATGTAACCAGGAGACAGCTGCCCTGCACATAAACACTCATCAGTACGCGCTGGGAGGGACATGTTACATGATGAAGTGATGGAGATAATGAGAAGAGTGTGTCAGGTGGTGATTTGATACACAAACTGCAGCTCTGTCACTCACAGCGGCTCCAGGCTACACAAAGGGAAGAAACGGCTGGTTATGAAATCGCTGCAGGTGTCAAGTATATCTTTGACTCTTACGCACAGATCGGATTAAGAACATGCCCTCTGAATTAGAGGAAGAATGAGCGACATTTTACAGAAATTAAGTAGATCCTCTGTAAATATTTCTCTGAGTCACACAACGAGTGAGAAGCGTGAGTCCCGCCAGCTGTATTGTTGTCAGAGCCGTGTTTACGTCAAGGTTACATGGACGGGACGGCCTTGCCTATAAAGCTGTTTCAGTCAAGGACTAGAGAAAAGAAGAATAACAAAGCCTACTCACTGCTTATTTGGATGTCATGTAAATGTGTTTAGATCTCTGTCATTCCGTGTCAATTTATGTGCAATATGAAGCTATGAGTAACCAAAGTGTGCTAACATTAGATCGCTAACACAACAACGCAGGCCACAGGCAGAGGTGTCGCCGGACAGCAGATTATTTGGTTTAAAGCTGCGGTTCTATGGCAACATCTACTGGATCAAAAAGTTACACGTTCTTACTTTAACAAAGATTAATCATGAGACATTTGCTTTGAAACTTTGTTCTTGAGAGGGAAATCGTATCAATCACTCTCTCAAATATGTAAAGAAGAAATAGCCTACCGCTGCAGCGAGTTAGCTTAGCATAACTCTTGCCCCGAATTCTGACTCTATCCACGTTCCTATATCTTAAATAAAGGCATAAAAAGCCCCAAAACAAACCTTTAATAGAATAGGATAGAATTACTTTATTGATCCCAAACTGGGAAATTGTACAAGAGCTCAATTTGTCAGAGTTATACATGAGAGCAGTTTAGCAGATTTATTGTGTGTGTAAAGAGTCTGGCTCGCTGTGTTTCCTTCTTTTCTGGTCTTTTTTAATGACAAGGATAGAAAAAAAGAATCTTATTCCCCCCTTGTTTCTTTTCCATTCATGTTGTTGAAGGACAGCAGCTGTTGCATCAGATCTTTAGCCGATGCAGTATCCTTTGTTTAATCCATTTTTCTCAAACATGTGATGTGATTCGAGATAATCAAGACCATGTGCACATTCACCGTAAGAAAAAAATCGGTTCAAGTCTTGCAGACTGCTGTGACCTCTCTCCCTGTCCTGTTCCCCTCGTGGCTGTGATGCTTATTTTCCCTCCTGGGGAAGATAGTCTTATCCTATCTATCTTGTGTTATCTGATCTAACAACTTCTGCATCGCTGGCAACACACGGCAAACTTTAATGGCGCGTCAAAGAAAAAAAGGAAAAGCTCAGTGTGTTTTTATCAAAGGCTTTAATCCAAACAAGGAGAAATGATTTTATCTCATCTTTGTATTTAAACAAAAACACCAACCCTCACCCGCTACTTGCGGGGGTGTAAGGTCTAACCTCAGAGAGTAATTGCTTTGCTTTGCAGCTTCATGGATTTTATCTGCCATATATTCATCATTCATCCTGGCGGAGAATTGTTCACTCGCTCTACCCCTTATGCCCCATAACCCAGTCTCCATGACAACGAGGATCTCAAGCATAAGGCGAGGGAGAGGTATGATATGTGAGCTGCCTGTTAATACACATGCTACTGCCCAAACCCTCGTCTGCTTGACGTTTGCTCCTTCACTCACTGGCTCACCTTCAAAAGGCAACAACACACACACACGCACACACACACACACACACACACACACACACACACACACACACACGTGCACGCATAATTACAGAGTCAGGGGCAGTGATTTTGCTCTCTGGTTGTTTTCAAGGGCATCCCACTTCATGGCAGACAGTAATCTCGCCGTCATGAACACAGTACGTGCTACAGCTCACAGCTCACACCTCCTATCACTTAATCCTTAAAAAAAAAATATGCTGCCACTTCCTGAAAGGAAAATGTAATCATTCTTATTCATTCATTCATTTACATTAAACTCCTTTTGTATACAGAAAAGTGCATCAATGTTATTTGTAATTGCACTTTATTTGTAGCCTATTTCCCATCTGGTAACACGTAACAATAATATTTAAATGCATTAGCTTTGTTTTTTGCTGTTCTTTTCCTGACTACCTTTTTAATGATTTACAGTTAATGCAGAGAAATAAGGCAATTAAACATCTGTTATTTCTAATGTCACATGTTCAAATTCAAAGAAGATAGAAAATAGTGTAGAAAAAAAAACACATAGAATACAATGAGTTCTTTATTCTCTATTTTTTTTCTTTCTC